GTGAAATTTGGAGTAATATAGAGTATGTGCTTGAACAATTGCAGAAGTGTAGAACTGTCCCAGTATCCTCTTGACACAAAATGTAAACTTCTACTAGCTCTAGTGAGAAAGAATAATACGCTTCATTTGCAGCAGAAGATATACAAGTTTAAAAATTAATACCTCTGTTTTCAGATAGGAATTTAAGTCACTGAGAATGAATGCAACTTCTGTGAGGAAAGCTACTTCTTATGCAGCAGCAGCTGCAGACGTCTACAGCAGTCTTGAAATTTCTGAGCTGAAGTTTCTCAAAGTATGGATAGTATGTCTAAAGACAGAACGACACTAATATAGCTTATGTTTTTTTATTTCCCCTGAAGACTATCTGCTTAGGTACTACCAGACACTTGGCAATGAAGCCACACTGGGACTTGACAGTAATCTGTTGACACATCATAAACATTGTGTGCCTGAAGTATCAAGAATGAACTGTATTTTATCTTAAAATGCTACAGGACTGCCTACTACAGCAGCTATGGTGGTTCCCAGCGTGAGAACGTCTTGCAACACAGTCATTCTTTTTTAGCTGCTGTTTAGCAAAAACTGTGACCATCTTTTTCTTTATTCATGCCTGTCTCATTCCTGATATATTTACAGACCTCTCCAAGTTGCACTCCAAGTATAATAAAAAATAATCTCTAGGATGACAAGCACTATTTGTATATGTAGATAGTTTTCTACACTATAGTTATGTCATGCTGAGAAACCTATTTCCAGAACCTATTTGATTAAAGAAAATAGTTGTTTCCCTTTATCTGTTCACTCTTTTTATCTATTGGAAAGCTGCAAGAAGAAATCGTAACTTGTTCACCACAGGAAAGGCAAACTGATTAATTCAGAACTTTTTGGTAGAAGAGATATGAGCATCTATCTGTATGTTGGTACATTCTATTTCTTTTATAAATGTCTGCTCTTCAAAATAAAATTCTGTTTCTCTTACTCTGGTAAATAAGTCAGCTTTATTTACTCACCAGAATGAGATGAACAGAATTTGCCCAGTAGTATTTAAGGTCTAGAGTGAACAGAAATCTTTCAGCCACGTAGTTTCCACTTTCTCCTGCTTTGCTTTTTTTGTCTCCCCAGCTAAAATGAACAGTTTGGACCTTAAGTGATTTGAAGATTGCATGGAAATTTGCACCTGGCAATGAGAATGGTATAGCACTGGCCTATATTTAAATAGTTTTAACAGACTTGCATTTGAAAACTCTATTTCTAAAGTATGTTTAGAATATGTGTGCTGCAGTTAAAAACGATGAAACACTGAAGCATAACTGTTCTAACTTCTCAGTATGTTATTAAACACTGTCCTCTATACACATCAAATCTCATGTGCATATCAAATTACAAGAGGTCTATTTTTAGAGCCCCTAAGGACTTGCAAGTCTCTTGCACCAATAAAAGATGAAGGTACACAGCATCCTTGGCTGTCCATTTAAAATTTTATGCATACGTATAGGTATGCTTGTTTAAATTATTTCATTTTTATGGCACTGAAGAAGTTTATTGATACATGTAAGTCACACATGCAGCCATGGCACATAGCTGAATTCTACAAAGTAGTGAGTAAACAAGATGTTAAATCATGTGGCTAATGTGTTATTACATCAGTCACTTAGAGAGAGACAAGACTGCACCACTCTTACACATACCAGGCAGTATTTTAATAATCTGCTGGTCATTTTGGGTCAGTCTGAAACCCATAGTCACTAAGTTACACTTTACTCCTCGAGTATTCATCGATATAAATTGGGCTATCAGTACAATAACATACTATTCATGACAAATAAGGGAATTATAAAGTCTGTTGACTTTATTAGCTCTTGCTAGTAAGCAAAGCAAAAAAAAAGAGAAATTATTATGCACTCCTAATAAGAGTGAGAAAGAAATTATTTATTTGATTTTAAATATTTATAGACTCAATTGGATATACTAAGTAATAATATAATATTAAGTGTATATATATATATATATAAATCCATAGATACATAAGTATGTATATGTAAATATAAAACCATAAAGTTTTAGTAACAGGTCTCTGCTAGAGAATTCTGCCATTAAACACTTGCTGAGAAAACGTGAGTGAGTACAAACAGTTCTATTGTGTGAAATGTATAGTGTGAGATTATCATGGTTCAGTAATATATCTGCAAAAACTGAAGTGAATATTCACTAGAGTACATTTACACAATCATTTACCATTCCCTTACTGAGATAACAAAGAATACTGCTTTTCTGAACTGACTAATGAAAGGAGATGATTAAGCAGCTGTTTGGATTATGCATCTTTTTTTCCACTGGCTATACCTTTGATTCCTAACTGTGCAATTTAGTTTTCCAGACACAGGTTTCCTGGAGTGATTAAGTATATAGCAGATACAGAGAGAGGGCCGACTCTTTACTGTTTGTTCCTAAGTCTGCAGTTTCAATTTTACATGAGGTAGAAGTACAGGACCAGGCACAAAGTAGTGTCTACATTCTAAATGCAAATTTTATATAAAATTTACTCCAGGGATGTAGAGATGGAGAATAGAAAATATACTTTATTAATGCAAAATTACAGTGAAAAGGATCAGATTTTTCCATCTCGCTACTTTAAGTTTGGGCCTTTCCTAAATAGAAACCAACTCCTCTCTTTCACACTGTGTATTTTTTTTGTCAATTGAGCTACAAAATATAGTATTAGTAATTATGATTGAACAGGTTTCTCACTAGGGAAAAAAGAATGTTTCCTAATCTACTGGCTGGACCATCTAAACATCCAAAACGTTCTGTGTAGATAGTCAGAGAAAGCAAAACCAATGTTAGATATACCAGTATGTGCTATGAGGAGTTACAGCTAACATTTCCCACAGCTGTCATAATGAAAACCCTTACAGAAACCACAACACACCTTTTTTAAGGGAAGAAATTCCTCTTTTAGCTTTATATAGGTCTCAGGAAAAAAAAAAAAAAAAAGTCATGATTGATATTATACAGTGAACACTGTAAAAAAAGGAATCATATTTTCCATAGGGATTTTACACTACAATTGAATCTTTACTACTCAGTGGCATCAATACATTAATTAATTGCTTTATATAGACATTACATGGTGGTAGGAAAGTATAACTTTCTGTCTTTTAGTAACTGTTACACTTCTCAGTAGGAAAAAAAAAAGGTGGTGTTTTTTTCTTTAGCATTCTGACAACTCCATTTTACAGTAAAAAATTGACATTACTTCAACAAGTGTCATTGAAAGTTATTTGTTTATTAAAGCATTAATTATAAATCGAATTATCTCCGGTTGTGCCCTAACCTAAACTCTTTCCTTAAGTGTCACTTTTTGTTAAAATCAATTTCGTATTTTAAGTATCGCTCTGCTCACCTAATTGATAGCAACACAAATTCATGTTAGGCATAAAATGAAACTGTTTCTGTGACACAACTCAGTAGTGGGTTGAGGATTAGTTCACAGTGGCCTTGTACAGACAACTTTTTTTCTTTTTTTCCCCACTTATAAATAATTTACAGGCCATCAGTTCTTTGAATTTTGGTTACTTAACCTGCAAATTACTGGTGACCTCTTCTATTTAGTTTAAAATGCTAGATGCAGCTGGCAACTAGAACATTCGGTGTTCACAGACCACAGGGAATGATAACTCCAAAGTATTATGAATTTTTTTTGATACATCAAGTGTCTGCAGTGTAACTTCTTTCCCACTTGCTGCATACACAAAATGAGTCTGTGTCACTTCTGATACACTCAGCTTATTCCCCTATGACTCAGAACAGCATATTAGGAGAACCACAGGATAAAACAGATATGACATTTCAAATATATTTAGTAGTCATTATCCAGAGCCTGCTTTCAATCCAAACGTTAAAAATCACTTTGGAACATACCTGTAGTATTTGAACATTAAGCTGCATTAATCATGAAGTAATACTTTAAATTAAATCAACTGGAGCCAAATTCTGCCCTCACCTTCACTCTGCAAGTTCACTGCTCTGGAATACATCTGCGTTTGGACTTTATCTATCTGCTAAAAATTGTCATTCTTTTATTAGCACCCTATATCCAATGGTCCAAATTCTGCCATTTCTCACATTCACAAAAGTCGGTAGAGGACAGTGTGGATATAACTGGCAGCAGAATGCAGCCGGGCTGTAGTTTCTAAATGAGCTTTGGTAGAAGACAGAGCATGTAAGTCTGGCTATAAAGCAATCATCAATATTGACTCAGGCTACTGGAAATCTGACTAGTTGTTTTGCTGTTTTATGACAGGATGTGAGTTTTGTTAACATTTGGGGGTAGGAGGGAATCACCACATACATTTTCTTTCTATTTCACTAAGCAGAATTTTCTACACTGAAGGTTTGGTTGTTTATGGGGAGAGGAGGAGGCAATGGGGCCCCAATGATACTGTTCTGCATTAAAAAATAAATATTTATGTATATATATTCTAAACAAGGAAATAAAAAAAAAAAAAAACATATATCTTAGAAAGATAGCTCATATTTACATACAGGATTGGAAGGCTATAATACACTGTTGCAATAGATGTCCTCAGTGTGTAGAGTTTCTCCCACGTCCTGTCAGTTACTGCAGATGATATGACTGCTTCAGAAATGCCCTCCCCCTTCTCCACCCCAAACTGAAGTGAAACCTGTGGAAGAGTCCATCTCTGTCTGATAATCTTCTGGGAAAATACCATGCCATGCCCCAAATGTGCCAAACGCCTGCCTGCACTCTCACGTGCACCTCCTTTGCCCTGCCATAACTGTTTCAGTGGGCGTTTACTTTTGAATCACACCAGAAACGTCAGTGTGATAGTAGAACCAGATCCACCAGACGTGGTCTGGTTCCACTTTCACTAAGTCCACCTCTCTTCAGTGACTTGTGTTGGTCCCTTCAGTGGTGCCTTACAGCAGATTTCACTGCAGACAAAAGGTAAAGTTAAACTATTCTAAAAGTCTCCTACCTGAATTATGGACATCCGGCTCGGGGGAGCCTCGCTGGCGTTAGTCCCTTGCCCTGTGAAGCTGGTGTGGCAGCCCACATGTCCCTGGGGTACAGTCAGGTTGTTGGAGGCAGGCTTCAGGTACATCACCTCAGACCTGGGAGAGCTGAGGGGCAGGCGGGTCTGGTAGTCAAAGTACATGGGTGAGGTGGCCAGGGATGGGCTGCTCACCACGTTCATGACATTGAGGGGGCCCCGGCTGTCCTCGCCCTCACTGGGCACCAGCATAATGTCATTCTTGCTGATCTTCTTCTTCTTGCCCTTGCTCCCTCCACTGCCACTGCCTCCTCCTCCCCCGCCACTGCCTCCCCCTCCTCCCAGCTGAGGGTGGCTATACTCAGCAATGCGACAATTATAGGTGCGGATCTCCTTGTTCTCTCGCTTGCACTTCACGGCAATAGTGATCATGGCAGCCAGCAAGATGATGGAGACAGTGCTCAGCGTCACGATCAGGGGCAGCGACAAGTCCCAGTGCGGTCGCCGATGCTGCTCGCCATTCACCTGCGGCTCACCAGCCTCAGGCAGGGGCCCGGCCAAGGCCCTGACAATGAGCTTGGCCACTGCAGAGAGGCTAGGCTTGCCATGGTCACTGACTTTTACCACCAGTTCAGCCACAGGGCTGAGCTCCTCCCAGTAGGGGTGCAAAGTGCGTATCTCACCGCTAGTGGGGTCCATCTCAAAGAGGTGCTCCTCATTGCCTTCCACAATCTCATAGGTGAGGCGCCCGCTCTCCCCAAAGTCACTGTCCAAGGCGCGGACGGTGCCCACGGGGTAGCCCACCCCTGCATTGCGTGGCACCTGCAGCTCAGCAGTGTCATTGATGAGGGCAGGCAGGACAATGAGGGGCGCGTTGTCGTTGACGTCGAGCACGGTGACGCGCACTGTGGCGTTGCTTTCACGGTGGGGTGAACCCGAGTCTTTGGCCAGCACACGAAACTCAAAGTGCTTTGTCTGCTCGTAGTTGAAGCTCCTCAGGGCATAGATAGCACCATTGGTGGGGTTGACGGAGACATAGGTGTAGATGGAGACATCGCCCACATGCCCAGGCAGAATGGAGTAAGAGACTGTCCCATTTTGGCCCAGGTCAGGGTCCTGGGCCAAGACGGAGCCCAGGTACTCTCCAGGGATGTTGTTTTCAGGGACCTGTAGTACATAGAGGTTCTTGCTGAAGCGGGGTGGGTTGTCGTTCTCGTCGAGGATCCGGACAGAAAACGACTTGGTGGAGTTGAGTGGAGGGTTGCCCCCATCACGTGCCACGATGGTCACGTTGTACTCATCCTGTGCCTCACGGTCCAGGGGCCGATCAGTGACCACAGTGTAGAAGTTGTCATAATTCTCCTCCAGGGTGAAAGGGACGGCTCCGGGCCCACCACCACCGCCCAGCACCCGGCACTGGAGCTGCCCGTTCTTGCCCGAGTCACGGTCGGTGACCCGCACCAAGGCAATGACAGTGCCTGGTGGGGCAGCCTCACTCAGTGCTCCCTGACGAACAGAGACAAAGCCAATGGTGGGTGCGTTGTCATTGCGGTCGATGAGGCGGACGGTGACCTTGCAGTGAGCGGGGATGGGATTGGGCCCCAGGTCCCGAGCCTGTACGTCAATCTCGATGAGGCCACTCTCCTCATAGTCCAGGTTGCCCTTGACACGGATGAGGCCACTCTGTGGGTCAATGCTAAACAGGTCACGGACACGCTCGGGTGCATAGCCGCTGAAGGAGTAGAGCACCTCTCCGTTGGTACCCTCATCGGCATCGGTGGCATTAAGGTCAATGACAGCAGTGCCCAGGGGCGCGTTCTCTGGCAGCTCTACCACGTAGGAGGCTGCCTCAAAGACGGGGCTGTTGTCATTGGAGTCAATGAGGCGCACGTTGATCTGCACTGTGCCCGAGCGTGGTGGGTCACCGCCGTCTAGCGCCGTCAGTACCAGGGTGTGGTGACTCTGCTCCTCACGGTCTAATGGCTTCTGGATTACCAGCTCCGGAAACTTTGTGCCATCCCCACGGGACTTCACATCGAGGGAGAAGAGGCCATAGTCATCACGGGTGAGCAGGTAGGTGCGCAGCCCGTTGTCCCCAGCATCCGGGTCATGGGCACTGGTGAGGGGGAAGCGGGTGCCCGGCGCAGCATTTTCTGAGATGTCCATGTCCACTTGGTCAGAGGGGAACGTTGGCGCGTTGTCGTTCAGGTCCTGGATCTCCACCTTGATCATGCAGATCTCCTGGTCGTTGGCGAACACCTCGAGGGACAGCTGGCACTTGGCGCTGCGCCGGCACAGCGCCTCGCGGTCTATGCGCTGCTTGGTGTAGAGCAGCCCGCTCTCCCCGTCCACGTCCAGGAGGTGCGGGGCCGAGTTCTCCAGCACGCGGAAGG